CTATTAGAGTCAGGGCAGCTAGACTGTGTTCTAATGTTCAAACCTGCTGGTTAACTGGGACCACAGTGGTGCATAAAGCTTTCTTGAGACAAGTATATGTTTATTAGACCTACTGATACAATTGTGCAGAGGGGGAAAACTGCCAAGCATTCCAGCACACACACACTTCTCCAATTAATTTTGCATTTGGCTGGACTTTTTCAATTACAGTAAATGACAGAACTGTTATTTATAATTTTTAGCTATTAATATACACAGCACTTAAGCAAGGATTTGGGAGATGCAAACATGGCTCTCTGCCCTGGGACTCTCCCCTGTAAGCTGTAGCCCAAAATTTGGGTAAAAATGAAGGCATGCATTTAAAATTCCAGTAACTGTTTTGGGTGATAAAAAGTCTAAATGCCTTTATAGTTCATTCAAAGCACTATACCCTGCACGGCTGTGCTGAAATGGATGAAAAGCTGAGGCTTGGACGTGGGTGAGAATGACCTCTCAGTTGTTCACTTCAGCCATTCAGCATCCAGCCAGGATTCTGGCAAACTCAAAGCAGTAGGAGGAGGAATGGCTGCTCTGCTAGTTTCTGCAGCTTAACACAAAGTGGAGGGAGGAATGATAGCCAGGAAAATTTTCATGTGCAGCAGATCAAGCTTTGACTGGCCAGATGTGGGATTGCATGAGAACAGATGATGTGTGAGGAGTGGAGAGTTAATAACACTGCATGAGTTTCAGCTCCCATGAGAGATCAGTCCTGGGCTTTTTGTGGCACTGCTAAGCACTGATGGAAGGTGCATGGCCAAGGGAGATGCAGTTGATACAGACTCCCTGCCTGGGGATTTGTTTTTCAGAGATGGAACTATTGTCCTTCACAAGATCCATGGCTCCTACAGTGTCAAGTTCTCTGCGCATGAACAGGAGGTGAACTGTGTGGACTTCCAAGGTGGCCTCATTGTTAGCGGCTCCCGGGACAGAACAGCAAAGGTGAGCAGTGATGTTCCAGCAGCTGCAGCAGCATGTGCAGAGGTGACCTCAGAGGTCTTGTGCCACGAATGTGTAAGTGTCAGCAGAACAGTTGTGAGCCCAGTCTTGCGTGTCTGCAGGAGGAGTGCTGGGTATCTTGGTGTAGTCTCGTGTCTCTCAAAAGATGCTTGTGGTGCCAAGCTTTTGGCAGTACTTTTGGCATCAGTTGCTGGTTTAAACTAGGAAGTGCAGAAGGCGGCACTTTCACTTTGTGTCTGTCTAACACTGTAGTGGAGACTCATGCCAGTTAGTCTGAAATTTGCCATATGTATCTCAAGCACATCCTTGCTTTGTGATGCAGTGCTTCTTCACATGCTCTCTGTTGTATATTCAGTGTCTTTAAGGGATAGCATGATGTCTTTTCGAAATCTGTGGGGTTGTGATATACTTATTTGTGGCTTTGGGTTTTCTAAATTCTTTTTTTTAAATATATATTTTTAATGGTCTTGGTTTGCAAACCAGGAGTGAAGTTAGGCTATGAATACTGTTAGCTTCATTTTTCTCTTCCGGTTAGTATCACTGAATCCCGTCATATAATTTTTGGCTATTTCTTTCTGAGGCAGGACCTTGCTGATTTTTGTCCTCTGGATCTGGTTGGCAGCGCTCTTCCTATGTGGACCTGGAGAGTTGTTCTTCTAGGCTATAACTAGCCGTGTTTTAGTAGTAGAGGAAAATGCACATAGGTGTTTCACCCTTGTCCTTCTAGCGTGATACCGTTCCTGTAGCATCTCTTCACAACCACTTGTTTCATTGTTAATGGTGGTTGCTGCGTTATTGAAAGCTTTGGCTGTTGCTCAGGGTAGACTGCTGGTTACTCTGCATCCCTGGTACATAGAACATTAATGAATGTAAGAGGAAAAACTGCTTCTCCTGTTTGGCAAGAGGGGAAACTGGGGCAAAGCAAGACCTAAACGTCTCTTTCAAGGTTTCATAGGGAGTGTGTGGTAATGGGTAACTATCTGACAGGCTGCTGAGCAGCATGACCCCATCTGTTCTTGTTGGTCCCTCTGTATGGATAAAATCACTCCCAAGTAGAGCAGTGTTCAGATGCAAAGGACACTGTTCAGGATGGTTCTGGCGTCCTGGGAGCAAGGCCTTGGTGCTGTTTTGTCTCACATTTAAGCAGGGCTGCTCCTCTCTGTTCTGTGGAGCCTTTTTGCTGGGAGAGTGCCTTCTTGCTGCTTCCCTGACAGCTGGAGGACAGACCTCCCCGACCTTGAGAACAAATTCCTAAAGGCTAGAGCGGAATTTAAGGCTGTTTTTCTTGGAGCTAGTGTGAGATCTTGCCCACCCAGTGCTCCCCACAGCATAGGCTCTAGGGATGTTCACGTCTTATTTTTTATCATCTCTTTTGTAGGCTGCCTTGTTTGCATGAATGAGACTCTTGGAGGGTGGAAGGGAATCCCCACCAACCTTTTAAAGGGGCTCTAAGTGTCTAAGCTATTGAGGGCTCTGCTGAGTGTTGATTAGGACTAAGCCCTGAAGAGCTGTTAATGTACATTCCTGTGTGATAGGCACCAGATAGTGTGCTCTGAGCAATATTTTTAACCTGTAGGAGATAGGGATGCCTTAAAAGAGTTAAGCTTTTCTGCTGCTTTTGCTGACACTAGGTGCTAAATTCCCTGCTGACAAGAATAGCCTGCAATCCTGGGCATTATCAACAAACAAACAAATAGGGCACTCCCAGCTTTGAAGTCTTGAAATGAAACATTGGGGGTCGGTTACAGAGAACTGGGGAGCTTGAGTCCTGCAGGCCAAGAATGAGGGCAAAATGAGGAGAATGAGGGCAGCAAGCAGAAGTCCCAGCCAGAATCTTGGGGACTTTATTAGGACCGAGAAACAAAGAAGGGTGTGTGGTGAATTGGTGGAAGGGGATGTGCATGTGTGCACTGGTGGGGGAGGGAAGAGATTTTCTCACTTTGTCAGTGAGCAAGGGGGGGCCTGTTTGAAAATAGCCTGGGGTACACTTAAGAAACTTGGTCAAAAGGGGGTTTGGGTTATAAAAAACTGCTTTATAGGATTGTGAATGATTGATTTTAGAGATAATATGGATGGAAAATTTCCAGGGATGGCACAAAGTCTTCCCATGCTCTGTAAGAGAACAGCAGAGATTTGAACAAATCCCCCTTCTTGCAGAAGATGAGAAATCTGTGTTGAGTGCTTCCCTAGAGAGCGTGTGATGATGAGGGTGCACTCTCTGTTCCCTGTGATGAAGTGGGATGGAAGGTCATGCTCAGAAGCTGAATCTTTGTGTAACTTTAGGTGCTTGTTTCTGCCAGTGCTTGACGGCTCTGCTCCTCAAAAATAAGTAATGGGATTTCAGGGAGAGGGTCTCAGGGAAGGTGAGTATGGCAGTTTTGACAGCTCTTCCAACACAACGTTAGTAGTGTGCATCTTATCTTCTGCACCTTCTGGGTGATGTGGCATAATGTGCATCTCTCTCTTTAGGTTTGGTCCCTGTCCGCGGGCAGAGTTGGGCAGTGTCTACATACAGTGCAGACAGAGGATCGAGTGTGGTCCATTGCTATCAGCCCATTATTAAGGTAACCGAGATCTCTTTATTCCCAGTTTCCAAGAGAGAGAAGTAAAGGAGTTAGGCTGTGTGTCCACAAATCTCTGAGGCACCACTGTGATGACACTTCAGGGACCTGATGTGAGTGGAGGCTGATCAGGTGCTTGTGCCTGCGGCAGGAGCTCAGGGAAGAGTCTGTGGACTTTGTTCCTCAGAACAGCTGAATGGTCTCCTCGTAAGAGGCTGTGAAAATGGCTCTGTGTTCCTGTTACTGTCTCAAGTGGGACCTGTTCGTTCTTACTTGCAGAGTGAACTCTGACTTACTCTGCCTTGCTAATTAGAAGCAATGAGCTGAATCCTCCTGAGGTTTTCTGTACTGAAAAGATGCCAACTTGTATTCTCATTCTGTGGCAGAAGAGATGCCAGGCAAAAAGGTCCCTGCTTTTTTGCTTGGGAAGCTAGCTTAGAGCTCTAAATGCTGCACACACCTGTTTTCTTGGTAAATTTGACACGTCCGACTGGGAAAGATGGAAGTGGAGTTCAGGGATGAGGTTTTCCAGCCCCTATTGCCTTTAGCCCTGTGCTTTTAGCATGGGCGTAATGCTACAGCTTCAGCGAGGGAGGCAAGGGCAGTATCTACACCAGTGTCTTCCAGGGCAGTTTTCAAAGTGCTCCTGTTCTTGAGGAACTGAAAATCTGCGAAGCTTAAACTCTAGCTGTTAAAATCTTACACTAGCCATCAACAACCTGTCTCTTTGGTTCACTATTAAGCTGGTCTTCTGCATGCAAGAGAGATTTCCTCAGCCTTCCTCAAGGAAGGGGGAAAGAAGAGCAGTTGTTGCTGCCCATGTGATGTCTGCAGCTAGTGAATTTTAGGCTTGTGCAAAACCACAATACTTCCCTCAACTGCTGTCCTCATTAGATTTCCAAGCTTCTTTTGCAGGCAGCAGAAACTTAGTGGTACAGAGCTAATGGCATTATAAGGGAAGTGACCCTCAAGGCCTGCTATGATTTTGCCGTTCCCTCGTCCCATTGCTCTGAGTGTTTGAGACAGTGCTTTTGAAGAAGTGCCGTGGGCTTTAATGCTGCTGTAGGATGTTAGATAGAAGCCCTTTGCTGTCTTCTGTGCTGCAGGGGCCCCTTTTCTAGCAGACAGGCTCTAGCTCTAGCACGATGGCTGGTTAGAGCCCAGTGGCATGCTGCTTCTTACTACTAAGTGATGACCTACTGAGGTGGCCTCTTGTCAGGACAGTGTTCCTCTCCCTGGTGTGCACACTCTCTGTCACAATATTTACCCACTGTCTCCCCACCCCCCCTTTCCTCCCTGCAGAGTGATGAATGGGAGGTAGTGGAACAGCTACCCCATGAACAAGTGGGCTTAAGTTGTTCACTCTCATTTTTTTATGAGACTGTGGACTGTACCAGCCTCCCCCACCAGCCCACCCTACCCCCCTCCCTTCTCCCTCCATATTTTGGGGAGGGGGGTGTGGAGAATTAGAGCCAATTAGCCACGTCATTAATTCTTCAATTTGACGGCTGATATAGCAGGGCCTGAAACACGCTGCTGACCTTGTATAATGGGAACCCTGCTCCTTAACATATTGACGATGGGAGAAGTTAATTAAAATTCCACAGAGAGAAGGTGTCGGCTAACCTATAAACCTGTCGCTTCTCAGAACAAATCGCAGCCATCCTAGAGCAGAGAGAGGATCAGAGCAGGAGGGCATGTGGTGGGGGAGGGTCAGGGCAAGGGTTAGGGGAGATGAATTTTTCACTAATAGGTTTTATTGCTTGCTGTCTAATGAGGGTGAGTATCAAAAAGATAATATCTGGTTTCTAGCAAGGTCTGCTTTGGGGAGCTCTGTGGTTTCTGTTTTATTTACAAGAGTCCATATTTCACCCATATGCATTCCCTATGCACTTGTAGGTGAAGCTTTTCCTCCCTTGCAGTCCCAGTCCTTCTTGCCAGAGCTTGGATGCATTTGTTCCTCAGTGAGGCTGAACATGGCCTATAACCTCCACTTCCTCCTAAACATTTGACGTGCCCTCCCAATTCTCACTTGTGCTGGTGTAAGCTGAGAGCTCCTCTGCAAGAACAGATAGTTCTGCTGGTGTAGAACTGCCGTAGAATCAAGCTCCGACCACCGAAGTATATTGGTTCATTGTTGCTGAGAAATCACCTTCTCTCTCTATTATGGACACATAGAGCTCAGGAGCAGCTCAAAGCAGTTGTGCGTGGTGGGGTAGGAGCAGGGAGGGCTTCCCTGGCTCTAGCCATTCAAAAGTGCTTTTGAGAGCCTGCAGTTTCCCGACCTGGAGGTTTGCCAGGACTAAGAGTCCCTAGAGTAGTCAAGGTTGTAGTCTAACTGAACCTCAACTGTTAATGGGCAGGACTGAATCTTTTCTTCTTGCTTCTCAGTGATATCTCCCTCTGTGTGAAGCTTCCTTAGAAAGTATCCCATGTCCTCCTGACCCACAGCTGGGTTTTCTACTGTCTACTGTAGTCCTGCTCTGCTGGACTGCTGCTGTAATGGGCAGTGCGTGTACACCCAAATTAAATGTCAGAGACTTGTGCTATTAAAGTGCTGCTCCCCTGGCTTCAGGCATCTTTCTTGGGTATTCTGCTTTGATTTGTCCACAGTTTCTCTGTGGCACTACAGAGATCCTCCTGAAGATGTGCTGAGCTAGGGAGGAGGCTTCCTTGCTCTTCATGTTGGGATGCCAGGCTGGATTCTTGGAGGGTCTGCAAACAGAATGATGCCTGTAAGGGAGATTAAGTAGGGTAAAAGGGTAACAAGAGTATTGGATCTGCTCTTCTTACTGTGCTTAGTCCTTTGTGTAAGCTTTACAGCCATGGGAGTGCCTTCACATCCATGTGTGTTATCGGAACTTCTTTGCTTTGGGGATCCCTAACAGTGCCCTATGGGGTAGCGGGAATGACAATGGCATTGTGTTCTTTCTGGGTTTTCGGCAGGTCTTCTGCATAGCTGTGCTGGTCGGCATGCTTGGGACAGCAGGTCCCACGTTGCCTAGCATGTCAGAAGAGTCTGAGAGTCCGTAAAATAGGATACTTAAAATAAGGGTGCCTCAGCTTGCTCTGGCAACTGTTTTAATTGGTCTCCAAAGCTGTCTTTCTCCATGGATTAGTAAAATGCTTTATTTACAGAGAGGCTGTGTCCCCTAAACCACGTTTCTTAGCTGCTTGTAATCCCCTTCCCCCCGAGTTCATTTGCCTTTTGAACTCTGCGTCATACAGATGTTAAACTTTCATTTACTGGTGCTTACTGCAGTGACTTATGTGCACTCAGAGACCAGGGAAAGCCTGAGTGCAGTGGACCAATTCAAATGTGCAAAGTGAGGCAAACCCAGGGTTTTCTACTGGAATAGTGGCACCTTCATGCTTTGTGATTCCCTGAGGTGGCAGTAGCCAGGGAAGAGAAGTGACTGCTGTACACTGCTTAATTTGAGGGATAGGTTTATGGAGAAAATGAGGTTGGCATGTATGGCTGCAGAAACATAGGGCTTATGGTTTACATTGTACTACTGAAATGTTCCTTTATTTAGGAGAAAATTTGTTACAATTTTTTTTTTCCTAATAATAGAGAAGCTTGTAAGCTGGAGGGGAAAGAAAAAAGTGGACCTTGATGTTAAAGTCATTATTAATCTTGGATTCAGAAGTTTTTTGGGGTTGGATTAAAAAAAAAGTATTCAAATCTAAGCTGGCTTCTCCTAATGGGTCTGGTCACTGGCATGTGCTATTTAGATTTTAAAATATTTGTGATGAGAGCTGGGCTTCCCATGTTGTACTTGGAAGTGTGTCGGATTTTGAACTATGAAAAGAGATGATGGAGGCAGAAAAATCTTCTTTGATGTTGAACTGCAGATAGAGAGCTGGGAAGCCTTTAGTGCAAATTAGGGCAATGCCAGGCAGCCGGAATGTGCCCTGTTGTATAAGCCCAGAAGACAGGCGTATAATCCCCAAAGATGGTCTCCCTTTCCAACTGTGTCATTGGTCTACTGCAGTACATGACCTCTCCTTGCAAATGTTGACTTGGTGAAGTGCAGGTTTACTCCAGAGAGGACGAGAGTTTGTACTAAAGACTAATTATCTGCATTGAATGTTTAATTTAAAGGAAAATGATAGTTCTGTGAGCAGTTGAATTTAAAAAGCCAGGCTTGCTCGCTCTGTTCTATTTATGCTGTGTTGTAGTTGAGACCTGACTCCTCTATTTTAACATGCTAATTTGAATCTCTGTTAACCTAATTGCGTCTCCCATGGAATGTTGTGGGGAAGTAATATCTGGGGACACCTCTGCCCCTGTGAACAACCTCAGACAAACTGTAAAACATACCCAAAACTTGTTGGGGAAGGGAAGAAAGAGAAGGGTTACTGACAGACACCTTGACTGATGGGCCCCTCTTCCATTGGGAATGATCAAAATGATTAATTTTGAGGGCTTCTTTGTAATGGTTATCTGGAAAGATTTTGTGAAAGTGAAACAATCTGATCTTGCAGATTGCATTAGAGCAAAACAACCCACTTGAGTCAGAGCAAGTTTGCAGTGGTTTTAACTGTACAATTGAAGCCCTAATGTGCAGCAGTTAAAATGCTTGATAACGTCCCTGTCCCCCCCCCATTTCTTGCTCTGCTTTTATCAGCAGATATCCCCTACTGCATATCAAGATGAGCTGTTGGCTGTAGGGGTGCTCTGTTTTGACTTAGCTTTGCGCAGTTAACCTCTCTGTCTGCTAATACATGGGACAAGTAACTGGGTTTTATTCTGGTTTGTGCATCACCAGCAAAACAGCAGGCAGCAATAGTTCTGCTGTCCTTGGGGATCTCTGTAGAGCCTGGTCGGTTTGAATAATTGAGAGGGGACTCTGACCTGCAGCTGTTTCTTAAGCAGGGGCAGGAAGAAGCTGCTCAACTGTGAGATCCCAGGGTGGACTTGCAGAGTTAGCAGTGGTGTTAACTACCATCTCTTACTGACCTCAGAGAGTGATCTGGATGTGGGTTTCTACATATATGCA